TAAGCAATAACGCCCCCTTCTGGCGCGATGAATAGATCTATGATAGAGGCAGGGTATTGAACGGTGACCAAAGGCAAAATTGGGGCTGATAAGAGGAAACTTTGCGTTTAATGGTTTCCAGATGATGAGAACAATGTACAGTAAGGGCACAAAGTGTGAGATTCATAGAAAAGTTTTCCTAAGAATATTTCCAATCCTTTTCTCACACAAGAGAAAATGGGTTGGGGGCGTTGGGTATAACTTTATGGAACAAAGGGGGCGGTGGATCGAAAAAGTTTGAGAATCACTGCTTTAAATACATGTGGCATTTTTGATTTGTTAATAACCAATGGTTTCATAATGTGATGATCTGAAGCATTGCTACAGAAAAGAATTGTTATGCGATATTTTGCTGCTTTATGATCACTAGCTGATTTATGAATTTTAGACACATAGGTCCTCTCTGGCATTTTTTTCCCAAAATAACCCTGACTCATCAGCATTAAAAACCCAATCAGGAGTATATGAATTGTTGGCAACAATCTCAGTAAATTTTGTTGGATATTCTTGTGCTGCATCTACATTGCCAGATGCCAGTTCACATTTTAATTTTAAACTATGTAAAGAGTGTCTTCATTTTTAACTTTTGAACCAACCATGACTTGCTGTGAAAGTCTGCTTCTTTTCAGATAAAGAAGAGAGTGGTAACTGCTCTTTAATTTTTTCGTAAATCCGCAAAGCTTTATTTGTAATAGTGTTGGTATCCGTTTTTGAGTTTGGTCCTCTAGCCAAATCATTAATGCCTTCTCATGTTTTCCATTGCAATATCTCTGACATATGAAGTTGTGCTTATACTCATACTAGTGCCCAGCTGCTACACTCTTTCTAACTGAGTTTTCACTTTTTCTTATGGTTCTTATTGTAGCTTCATTTATGCTATTTATATATAATCTAGCAACATCTATTACTCTTTCTCCATTTTGTAAACAATCCAAAATTTTTATTTTGGTTGCTAAAGATATAACTTTTCTTTTTACTTCTTCCTTATTTATAATTTCTTTTGACATAATAAGCCTACAAATATTACTCAAGATATAAAATATGTAATTAAAAATAATGTAATTGTTTGTTACTTATGAATATGTTTTTAACCAGAAAATTTTAATTTTTCAATGTGCAATGAGTGCAATTTTGTGCATATGGGGAATCCCCTATATTGGTTTATTGGTTACCATTTGACAGATTGAAATAAAACTGCCACCTAGTGCCATAAATATCAACTATATTGTATAATTAAGATGGATTGGTATATAGATTGGAGTTAAAAATTGTTCCTTTAGACTATAGCCAGTTTATTTTCAACATTTAGTTTTTAAATTTTTTTAAACCATGTAAAAGCAAAAACATGTAAAAAAGTACCATGTAAAACAAGGGATAGGTGTAATTCATTATCTTCTAACAGTGGTGTGCTGTCCATGGAAGCTGTGGAAATGCCACTTCCCTTGTATTTTCTAAAATATAAATGCATATTGTGATTATTTTCATATTTTAATGTAGTTTGAATTAATTAAAATTAGTATTTTATTATAACTGCATTATGTATTTTATTACAAATTTCTATATGTGTATAAAACAATGATAAGATTTCCATTGTATATTCGAATATAAATTCGTGTATGCATATCCCAGTGGAAGCACTGTATTGTTGAATATGAAACATCTTCCATGGCAAAAATATTTGAATTGTGTAATCATGCAGCCAGATTACAGGCATTCGCCCATGCACTTTACAGAGCACAATCTCACGCAGTTTAGTTGGTGGATGCTACACACCAAAATATTGTATAACACTTCCAATGATTCTACCCATTAACCACTCGTAGGGAGATATTTGACTAAGTGAATTGTTTTAAGATTTAAAAAGTAAAGAATATTCAATGTTATTTTTATGTATGTTTCTTTAAAAGCTATATTTAATTATATTATATTAAATATTAAATTTTTATCATATTAGAAANATTTACTCACAAAATCTGTAGATGTTAGTTTTAAATATTATGAAAAACAATTTTCTGAAGCGAGTTTTAATTCTTTAAGTAAATTTTATGAAGAATTTTTTTCATTTATCTAAATTATGTAGTGGATAACAATATTTATATTCATATCCAGCAAGTCACTGTTAGGCATAAAAAATATTATAGTCAATGACGATCTGAACAAAGATGTACTAAAAGATTTTGTAAATTGTCAGTTTCTTTCCAATCAGAAGTTCTTAAATTGTAATTACAGTGCAATTTATTCTCATATTCACCTTCATTGTCCTGATCATCACAATTAATGAATGCAGATGAATTTACTTTCCTTTCAAATATCCTTTCAACTATAGCATTGTTTTCAAGATTATTCAGAACATTTAAAATTGATTTATTTTGGTGAAACATTTCTTTTCATCTGAATTTTGAAAAGCATTGCTATTTACAGCTTTGAGTCTTAAAACTCTTAATGTAGAAACTGCATTTTCATTAATACTTTGTACTTTGATTACAATTTTTCTGTGCATCAAGATTTCCAGTTTCTTTTCTTAATCCAAAAATTAAAGTTTGGCTTCAAATTGAAATTTGCAGCATTTGGAATGAGTTGTGAAAAATCAAAATTGGATTTTTCACACAAACTTCCTTTATTAGTAGCAAGAGTCGTTTGGCAAATTGGGTTGTTTTATGAGAGGATATGAACCAATACATTCCATATTGCTCAATTCTTTGCTTAAACTTTTCTGAATATTATCACAAGAATTTGAAGCAAGTTTTCCACATAAGTCCAAAAGAGAATCTGTTGGATATTCTTTTTGGTTTGGTATCTTTTGATATAGTAAGTTTTTTGGTTTAGCAACTCTTCATGCAATCTTTGCAACAGGCTTTGCCTCTGAGGTAATAGCATTCAATGATGGAGATTTAATGTCATTAACTTTTACAGTACCATCTACAAGTGTGTCTGAGTGCAGTTTTTCAACCATGAAGCGAATTCTACATTTGCAAGGAACACTCAGTCAGAGGAAAGATTGTTGTCACTAGCATTGCTTTCAATAGAAAAAGAGCTTTTAAATACTTTGATGGAATCAATGACAAGCAAATTTTATGATAAAGTAATTATTTGACAAATTTTTTTCTACAAAGTTGTTAGTTAGTTTATAAAAAATAATAAAAACAAGTCTTATATTTTTGTGTCGATTATTAATTTTAATTCTAAAATAAATAATTGACACAAAACAAAGATAAACTGTTTACTTTTGTCATTTCCAGTATTTGTTTAAAATATTAAAAAACACAGCTTCCCTATCATCAAATGTCACCACACGCCACTGACTTCTAACTCTAATTCTTAAGTTATGGTTGTATTCAAACCAAGAATAAAGTCATTGATGTCATTTATAACTGATTTCTTAAATATATTTGAAGATAAATTAAATCCAACTTTTGGAAAATAATGTAGATTCTCTTATTACTAAACTAGTTTTTGTTATTGTTATTGATTTAGTTTTTTAAACTTGGAAAAAGAAGTCAGAATCAGTCAAAAATAATGATAAACAAAAGTATTTGTTATGCAAAGAAATAAACAATATGTATAGTAATTGTTTAAGTTTAAAAAACTAAATCAATAACAATAACAAAAACTAGTTTAGTAATAAGAGAATCTACATTATTTTCAATTACTATACATATTGTTTATTTCTTTGCATAACAAATACTTTTGTTTATCATTATTTTTGACTGATTCTGACTTCTTTTTCCTTCAAAAATTTTAAATACTATAGCATTTATTTGCAAAAATCATTGTTTACTGTATGGCTTATTAAACAATAAATTAGATTATTTAAAAACATTCATATGATAATTTTTTGATTTATTATAGTTGCCTTTACAGAATCTATCTTCTTTCCTGAATGCATCACTAATAACTGTTGAGCTCCTATATATATCAGGTCAACAACAGTGATACAGCAATATTAAATGGATTTATCAGAAAACCTAACAAAATATGTGTATAACCATTAGGTAAGTTTTAGTCTTAAGAAACAAAGGCTAACTCCATAAACATTAAAGCGACCAAAGCCGAATTAACAGACTAGAAGCGGCTATAATAATAATAATAATAATAATAATCTTAAGATAATTTGGTATTAGAGTTAGGCATTAGGCACCATCTCATGCTAAATTTAATTATCATAATNTTTCTAAATATCTTTATGAAAATTTCGGAGTTGCGCTAAATTTGGGGTCGCGTTATATTCGGGCTAATACGGTAACATTTGCTTCTGATTTCTTGTTAGATCTTTATAGACCTCATCATATTGAACCAAGCAATGATTAATATCATGTTGGAATTGAAGAGCCCGTTCAACATTTGAATCATTTTGTACAAAATGATTACCGAATTTTCTTCCCAATTCGAGTCCTTCATGGATGATTTTTGCTATAAATGCAACTGATTCAAATTCTTTTTCATCAGGATCATTGTCACAATCAATAGTTTTATCAGCCATGTTAATTAAATCATCTTCACTTAGTTCTTTATCAGCCACTAGTTCTGCAATATCTCCTTCAGTAAAATCATCGAAACCTTCTCCACCTAATGAATGCGCCAATTGTACTATCTGAGAATATTCTTCCTTTAATGGTGAAATAGAAGCTTCATCTTTAACTACATTTGGCCACAATTTCTTCCAACAGCTATTGAGTGTTGATTGCTTAATCGAGTATATGATAAAGCAAAATGCTTAACACATTGTAAGATTGTAAAATTTTTCCAAGCATTAATAACTGTTAAAGATTCGTTATTTTCTATTTGTTCTAAAATGTGCGTGAAGGCTCATTTTATATACAGAGCCTTAAACATCGAAATTATCCCCTGATCTAATGACAGTAATAATGAAGTCGTATTCTTTGGTAAAAATATAACTTGGATATTCTCATACTGTAGATCCTGTGGATGACCTAGTGCATTGTCAATTAATAAAAGCACTTTAAAAGGCAGTCTCTTTTCATTTAAATATTTTTTGGCATCTGGGATAAAACATTCATGAAACCATTCATTAAAAATTGTGGCAATAACCCACGCTTTCTTATTGGCCCTTCAATAAACAGGAAGTTGGTTGATATTTATTCCTTTAAATCAGCGTTTATCAAAGTGGACGATAACACCCCCTTGTGGGCGCTGGAGGCTTTCAGGGGGGCAGTAGAAGGCTCAAAGAGAATTGGGGGGCGTTAAGGAAATATAGAGGGGCGACGGCAGACAAATTCTATATATAAAAATTTGACGTAATATATATAAAATGTTGACATTTTATATATTTTTTATTTTTTATTGAAGGTCACAACTTGAATATTTCTAACACATTGACTTTTATTTTAGCTCAGCGTTTCTCAAAGTAAGCAATAATGCCCCCTTCTGGCGCGATGAATAGATCTATGATAGAGGCAGGGTATTGAACGGTGACCAAAGGCAAAATTGGGGCTGATAAGAGGAAACTTTGCGTTTAATGGTTTCCAGATGATGAGAACAATGTACAGTAAGGGCACAAAGTGTGAGATTCATAGAAAAGTTTTCCTAAGAATATTTCCAATCCTTTTCTCACACAAGAGAAAATGGGTTGGGGGCGTTGGGTATAACTTTATGGAACAAAGGGGGCGGTGGATCGAAAAAGTTTGAGAATCACTGCTTTAAATACATGTGGCATTTTTGATTTGTTAATAACCAATGGTTTCATAATGTGATGATCTGAAGCATTGCTACAGAAAAGAATTGTTATGCGATATTTTGCTGCTTTATGATCACTAGCTGATTTATGAATTTTAGACACATAGGTCCTCTCTGGCATTTTTTTCCCAAAATAACCCTGACTCATCAGCATTAAAAACCCAATCAGGAGTATATGAATTGTTGGCAACAATCTCAGTAAATTTTGTTGGATATTCTTGTGCTGCATCTACATTGCCAGATGCCAGTTCACATTTTAATTTTAAACTATGTAAAGAGTGTCTTCATTTTTAACTTTTGAACCAACCATGACTTGCTGTGAAAGTCTGCTTCTTTTCAGATAAAGAAGAGAGTGGTAACTGCTCTTTAATTTTTTCGTAAATCCGCAAAGCTTTATTTGTAATAGTGTTGGTATCTGTTTTTGAGTTTGGTCCTCTAGCCAAATCATTAATGCCTTCTCATGTTTTCCATTGCAATATCTCTGACATATGAAGTTGTGCTTATACTCATACTAGTGCCCAGCTGCTACACTCTTTCTAACTGAGTTTTCACTTTTTCTTATGGTTCTTATTGTAGCTTCATTTATGCTATTTATATATAATCTAGCAACATCTATTACTCTTTCTCCATTTTGTAAACAATCCAAAATTTTTATTTTGGTTGCTAAAGATATAACTTTTCTTTTTACTTCTTCCTTATTTATAATTTCTTTTGACATAATAAGCCTACAAATATTACTCAAGATATAAAATATGTAATTAAAAATAATGTAATTGTTTGTTACTTATGAATATGTTTTTAACCAGAAAATTTTAATTTTTCAATGTGCAATGAGTGCAATTTTGTGCATATGGGGAATCCCCTATATTGGTTTATTGGTTACCATTTGACAGATTGAAATAAAACTGCCACCTAGTGCCATAAATATCAACTATATTGTATAATTAAGATGGATTGGTATATAGATTGGAGTTAAAAATTGTTCCTTTAGACTATAGCCAGTTTATTTTCAACATTTAGTTTTTAAATTTTTTTAAACCATGTAAAAGCAAAAACATGTAAAAAAGTACCATGTAAAACAAGGGATAGGTGTAATTCATTATCTTCTAACAGTGGTGTGCTGTCCATGGAAGCTGTGGAAATGCCACTTCCCTTGTATTTTCTAAAATATAAATGCATATTGTGATTATTTTCATATTTTAATGTAGTTTGAATTAATTAAAATTAGTATTTTATTATAACTGCATTATGTATTTTATTACAAATTTCTATATGTGTATAAAACAATGATAAGATTTCCATTGTATATTCGAATATAAATTCGTGTATGCATATCCCAGTGGAAGCACTGTATTGTTGAATATGAAACATCTTCCATGGCAAAAATATTTGAATTGTGTAATCATGCAGCCAGATTACAGGCATTCGCCCATGCACTTTACAGAGCACAATCTCACGCAGTTTAGTTGGTGGATGCTACACACCAAAATATTGTATAACACTTCCAATGATTCTACCCATTAACCACTCGTAGGGAGATATTTGACTAAGTGAATTGTTTTAAGATTTAAAAAGTAAAGAATATTCAATGTTATTTTTATGTATGTTTCTTTAAAAGCTATATTTAATTATATTATATTAAATATTAAATTTTTATCATATTAGAAATTATATTAGAATTTTTATCACTTTTAAATGTTAGTTTTAAATATTATGAAAAACAATTTTCTGAAGCGAGTTTTAATTCTTTAAGTAAATTTTATGAAGAATTTTTTTCATTTATCTAAATTATGTAGTGGATAACAATATTTATATTCATATCCAGCAAGTCACTGTTAGGCATAAAAAATATTATAGTCAATGACGATCTGAACAAAGATGTACTAAAAGATTTTGTAAATTGTCAGTTTCTTTCCAATCAGAAGTTCTTAAATTGTAATTACAGTGCAATTTATTCTCATATTCACCTTCATTGTCCTGATCATCACAATTAATGAATGCAGATGAATTTACTTTCCTTTCAAATATCCTTTCAACTATAGCATTGTTTTCAAGATTATACAGAACATTTAAAATTGATTTATTTTGGTGAAACATTTCTTTTCATCTGAATTTTGAAAAGCATTGCTATTTACAGCTTTGAGTCTTAAAACTCTTAATGTAGAAACTGCATTTTCATTAATACTTTGTACTTTGATTACAATTTTTCTGTGCATCAAGATTTCCAGTTTCTTTTCTTAATCCAAAAATTAAAGTTTGGCTTCAAATTGAAATTTGCAGCATTTGGAATGAGTTCCTTTATTAGTAGCAAGAGTCGTTTGGCAAATTGGGTTGTTTTATGAGAGGATATGAACCAATACATTCCATATTGCTCAATTCTTTGCTTAAACTTTTCTGAATATTATCACAAGAATTTGAAGCAAGTTTTCCACATAAGTCCAAAAGAGAATCTGTTGGATATTCTTTTTGGTTTGGTATCTTTTGATATAGTAAGTTTTTTGGTTTAGCAACTCTTCATGCAATCTTTGCAACAGGCTTTGCCTCTGAGGTAATAGCATTCAATGATGGAGATTTAATGTCATTAACTTTTACAGTACCATCTACAAGTGTGTCTGAGTGCAGTTTTTCAACCATGAAGCGAATTCTACATGATAGGGATAAAAAACACAGCTTCCACACGCCACTGACTTCTAACTCTAATTCTTAAGTTATGGTTGTATTCAAACCAAGAATAAAGTCATTGATGTCATTTATAACTGATTTCTTAAATATATTTGAAGATAAATTAAATCCAACTTTTGGAAAATAATGTAGATTCTCTTATTACTAAACTAGTTTTTGTTATTGTTATTGATTTAGTTTTTTAAACTTGGAAAAAGAAGTCAGAATCAGTCAAAAATAATGATAAACAAAAGTATTTGTTATGCAAAGAAATAAACAATATGTATAGTAATTGTTTAAGTTTAAAAAACTAAATCAATAACAATAACAAAAACTAGTTTAGTAATAAGAGAATCTACATTATTTTCAATTACTATACATATTGTTTATTTCTTTGCATAACAAATACTTTTGTTTATCATTATTTTTGACTGATTCTGACTTCTTTTTCCAAGTTTAAAAAACTAAATCAATAACAATAACAAAAACTAGTTTAGTAATAAGAGAATCTACATTATTTTCCAAAAGTTGGATTTATTTTATCTTCAAATATATTTAAGAAATCAGTTATAAATGACATCAATGACTTTATTCTTGGTTTGAATACAACCATAACTTAAGAATTAGAGTTAGAAGT